GGATCAACGCGTCTTCCTTGCCTACGGCCACCGCTGCCCCGCACCTGATCTACCTCACTGGAACTCCTCTGCCACGCCGGTTGCGTCCTTCGCCTCCCCCCCCGTGAGCGCCACTCCCATTCCCCTCGACCCCCCTCTATTCCATCGCCGTTTTGTCGTGGCTACGTGCTGGCCGTCTCCGCGCGCGCCCCTGCTAGCCAGTGCCTGCCCGCGTCCATCCCCGTACCGCGCCCCCGTGTGTCCCCGCGTGCGTCGCCCGCGTCCGTCCGTGCCTCCGCGCTAGCACGCGTTGCCCCGGGTCACTGCTGTTGCTGCTGCACTACTCAGCCACCGCTGCTGCTCTGCCCGCCACTCCCGCTCCCTATTGTTGCTGCTGCTGCTTATAGCCACGCATCGCGTCCATGCGCCAGCCCGCGCACGCCCAGCCGTTCTCGCTCCTGTGCGCCCCTCCCACATGCAGCCACTCCTGGCCGAGCATGGCGGCTGTGACCTTGTCCGTGCAAACTGGCCATGCTAGCTTAAGCACGCCGTGCACAACCGGTTGAGCTCTGCCCATTACTTAACGCATGCCCTATTCTGTTTAGTAGTACTAATTAGATTAGTTTATTATTTCTCTTCCCTATATATAATTAATAATTAATTAATCTCTCCCTAATTAATAATAAAGCACGGATTGGGTCTTCGGGTTCACCGTCGCGGAGTTTTTGCAAGAAAGTCTCTGATGCTTTAGTTATTTAATTCGCAGTCGTTATAATAAATCAACCCGAAGCGGTACGGGTGAGAGAAAAGAAAATTAAAAAAACCCAGCCACTCGCCCTCCCAAATCCTCTCGACCTCCAGCGTGCCAGCACCTCCCGCCCCGCCCCAGCGCGCCGCCACCTCCCACTCCGCCCCATCTTATCGATGCGTTCGGGCAGGGCGCCGCCGCCGCCGCCAGCCACTCGCCCTCCCAATCCCATCTTGAACTCCACCGCGCCTCCACTCCCGCCCCGCGCCATCTTACCGATGCGTTCGAGCAGGGCGCCGTCGCCGCGCGTGGCCGCGCGGCCAATTTTCTTCTTTGTCTATCCGTTCTGGGGGCGCTCGACATCGCCGTGCCGCCGATCTGCCGGCTTCGCCGGAACTCCGTTTGTCAGCATCTTCTCCACCCCTTGGTGATGAGCGGCTGAGCCAAGGAGCGGAGTCAGGCGCCGCCGCGCGTACATGCCGCGTTCGTGCGAGAGTGGGGACGGTCTGACAGGGGATGCAGACTTGGTTGGGGAACAAGAGCACGCGAAGCTAGGAGCAGGGGCCGATCGATGGGCAGCGCGAGGACCTCCTACTGGTTCTACATGTTCCTCTCTCTGCCTATCCATTACAAGCATAGAGGTGAACTCATGGTTGTATTGATAGGTGATTTAAAGTGCAGGGTTGTGAGGAAATCAGTATAAAATCTTTGTTGTCGGAGTTCCCTTGGAACTGCGCAGAAGATGGGGTGATGGATTCAGTGTCAAGATTCAATGAAGATCCATCTGTTCGTGGCCTGCTTGTTCACCCACTACTACCACAAGCAATGTATTTTAGGGTATGTTTGGTTCTTGCCTATAGCTGCCCTGCCAATATTGGCTTGCCAATTATTTGGAGTGGGATTCCAACGCCCAGGGTTGGCCAAAGATTTGGCAAGAATCTGTGAAGGAAGCAACAATGGACTTTGTTGGCAGCCAAATATTTGGCAACAAACCAAACAACACATAAGGAATTTGGCATGACCAATATTTTGGTAGGGTAAGTTGGAGGCGTAAACCAAACAGGCCCTTACTTTTCTGGATGCAGCCCTAGAAAGGAATTATGTTTGGTTTAGTTCATAGAAAGATATATCACAAAATCCTTTTTGTTTACATACTAACTGAATAATACGAAGTATTTTAGTTCTCATGGTAATAGACAAGCAACTTCAGTAGTATTTGATTTGAGTTTTTGTTTTTAAGTATATGTTTGGTCAAGATTCAACTTTCTTTATGTCCATGTTTTGCTGGTATAATGCATCATCAAGCTTTGTTTTATATGATGACATTGTGTAAATCAGCATATGGATGAGGAAAGTATTCTGAGCGCAGATGCTCGCTGCCGCCGCTGCTTCTGACAACGTGTGAGCCGCCTAATCGAGCGAGGATTCGCCGCTCATCCTAAGAGGACTCGCCGCTCTTCCATGACGCCGCCGCTGCAACGCGGCGTTGTTCCAGCACCAAATCGCAGGTTTTTGCCGGTGCCTATTTACTTGCCCTTCGTCTGCATAGTTGAGCGCAAGCTTCTGACCTTAATATAGACTTTTGAAAACATTATATTTCATGCCTGCACATTACTAGAAACATAATTACACTACGTAGATTTAACGGATTTAAATAATACTATTGTCTCAGTAAAAAAAATATTTTTCAACTTTAAATTATATGCTGGCTTCAGATTGTTTTCTTAAAAAACAAGAGCTCTTTTGGGGTTTGCAGTAGTGTGGTTTACAAGAGGTAGCCACGGTTCTTCAAAAATTTGAAGTGTTAGCAAAAGGAGTGGAACAGATCAAACTGAAGCTATTTTATTTAATATTATCTACTTCTACTTGAACTTTGATGGGAATCTGATGTAACTATCCCGCAATCTGAAAATACTCTATGATGTGCAAAGAAGATTTCTGTTTACATGTAACTGCGCTGAACTCTGCTTATATTTCTCTATGCGCCGCAAAGTTCAAGCAGTTGTAAGTAGTATACAAACATACTCTGCTCACAGTATAATCATCTGATGCAATGTGATAGTTCCAGCAAAATTTCTTCACCTATAAATCAAATTATGTAACTTCTCTTTGTGTAAATCTTGGATTTCTAGATCTTATGAAAATGACTTTTTATTTCAGCAAGTGTAATTTGAATTTGTAATCTTTTTAAATATAGATGCATCTTTGCAAATCCAACAAAGTGGTGGGAATATCTACAACATGAAGTTTCTCAAGCTGATAGGGCATTCTTCTGCATGTTTGTGACATGATCATGGTGCACATATATTTAATAATGAAGGTCTTCGGCTATCACTATGAATGATTCTGCTGTTGTGTAAGTGATTTCTTAAGTGTTGTGTTGTAACACATTAGAGTAAAAGATTAATTGTGTATGAAGAATAATATTACGGAGTCAGGCACAATTTGACCTTAGTTCTGACCAAATTAATCTTTATTTGTTTGCTAGGTTGTGTGTCAAACATCACTTCATGTTGTAGTGCATTTTTTCCTTTCAAAATCCACATTATGCAATTTGGCTTTATAAGAAGTTTCACTTTATTATTAGTGGAGAACGGGAGATACGGAAAGGGAAGGGAAAAACAGTAATTCTAGCAACTAGCCATTGTTCCGTGGCAAAACACAGGTGTTTGTTCTATTATGTTCATCGGAAGTCTTTACGGAGGAGTTGGGTCTGGGTGAGTGACATATATTTGCTTGAGGTCACGAATTCTTTTCTGCTGTTACTTGCATCTTACTTGATTTTTTTTTCTTTAAGTTCTTCATGTTTTCCCATATCGTCTGCTCTATAGAAGCTGCTACCTCAAATTAAGTAAGTGCATCCTTCTTTTTTGTCCAAGTTTGTTCTATTCTATTACTCAGAAGTCTGTACAAGACTGAGAGACTGAAGCATATTTGCTTGAGAGTTGAATTATTTTTGGATGTTAGGTTTGTACGCTATACTGTTTGATTAATGAAAACTGATAAAAGTAGTGGCAAACACTTGATTGAGTAAGCTACTGGATTTTACCAGTAATACACAGTAGTTTCTTGCAATATTATCTGCATGACAAGAAACATCCATATTTGATTTTGCTCTGTGATTGGTTCAAATATCACTTTTTGGGCTAAAGCTGATTGGATACGAGTAGTAGTGTCAACAGTAATAACTTGAAACATGATTTTATCATGGCTCTAAATTTTATTACTGATGATTTCTTTCAGGATATTTGTAGAGGCTATTCGCACCGTAGTTCAAGGCAGATGATAGAGTACAGGCTAGGCAACTCACTTATATTGGTACTCGTTTAAATGGTTATCTATTCTGCCGGCATAGTTACATGCCATATTAATTTCAGAAGAACAATTTCTAATTTAGTGTTGTGCTTGCATTCATTGTTATGTCTAAAAAGAAAATTCCAAACAAAAACAAATATAAAGTCACAGTTTGTCTTTACACACTGGATAATGAATGTTTCAATCGCGCTAAATTGAACCAAGGCTTTTAGAATAAACTGTGGCCTCTAAGCTTGTGTGTAGTCAATTACTAAATGTGTAATATTAGCACATATTAGCACGACTATTTCTTAAGTGCAGCCAGCCACCAATTTCATTTGATTTGAATTAATATATTACTTATATACTCATTTAGATATTTATTTATGTCCTCGATGGATTGATTTGAACGCCGCAATTTTATTACCCCATTGCAACGCACGGGCCCTTTTGTTAGTAATAATAAAGCATGGATTGACTTTATCGGGTTCACCGTTACAATACGCTTTCTTCTCATGTCATAATACGTTTTTATAATTTGTATTGACAAAATCGTAATATAAATGAGGTGGTACTAATAACATGTTCGTACGTGGCCAGGCCGAGCCAAATCCCCCTAGCCGCCGCCGCACCACTCCCGGACGCGGCCGACCTCAACTCGCCCGCCGCCGCGGCTGCACCTCTGCCCGCTCACGAGCCTCCACCCGCGCGCTCAGCTCTGGGACACCCGCGACGCACCGCGCGCGCCCTCCGCTGCCAAACTGCGCCGGCTGCGCCGACCGCCGCGCGCCGTCGGATGGCGGCGGTGGACCCTCTCTCATGGAGGATTACACCGGCTGCCCCGCGCTAGCCGAGATCATCCGCATCCTCTCCGTGAAGCGCCATCGTCGCGGGAGGACTTCGTTGCCTGGCTCGCCGACAACTTCATGACGAGGCCCGCGTCCGCTTCTTCCCGTGCGACCTCCTCGACGGTGCCGCCATGCTCGCCGCCGGGTGCGGCTGCTACGGCATCTTCCACCTCGCCTCGCCCTGCACCGTCGACCGCGTCCTGGACCCCCAAGTACTGCTGCTCCGTGACCGTCCTGCCGTTATTCCTTCAGAGTTTAGACCTCTCAGTACGGGGTGGCGTCTGTCTCATTTTGTGGTTGCAGAAGGAGCGGGTAGCGCCGGCCGTGGAAGGGACGCTCCATGTGCCTTCCTTGGAGCCGGCGCCGACCGGCCTGTGCCCCCTCCCCGCTGCACAAAATTTGCTTCTTTGTCCCCACTTTGCTGCAAAAACTCTGTGCCTCTGCTACGGCCATTCTTCGCTCCATGGCCTTCCATGAATCTCAACCCTGGCAACTGGAGTATGTTACCTTAATTACTTGCTGTACAACTGCAGTATTTCTAAAACAATTTCCATGGCTAGCACTCAGGTTGAATTACTAGCTGAGTTTTGCATATATGCAATCACTTTTGCCTGTTTTTGGCCTTTCACCCTTCACTTTTGAAGCAATGAAATCTTTAATCCTGAAGATAATCTTCAGCGTTCATGTTCAAGTGTTATAAACTCAGATTTCAGTGTTAATGTGCAAATGTTCATTAACACTATTTGAAATCTGAGAACTAGAAATGCTGAAACCTGAAAACTGGAATCTCCAGTTAACTGAATTTTTGAACATTTAATCTTGTCTAACTATTTGTGAGGTTTATTGGTGTTTCCAGTAGATAAAACCTAACCCTATGTATTTATAAATGGAGCAGAACTGTATTTATAAAACTTCAGAGAATATATTGTTGTCTTCCTCGTATTCTTTTATTACTGGAGCCACCATACAAAACTCTCTGGAGCAGAACTGTATTTCAACTATAAATGACAGGAACAGAACTTTTATATATTTGTTGTGAGTACAACTTGAGAGAGTTTCAGAGAAATAAAAGAAAGCAACTAAAACTTCAGAGAATATATTGTTGTTTATATAAACTGAATATTATGTACTGTCAATATTCAGAAGCACAGAATATATTGTTGTTTAGATAAACACAGCTGCTTGCTGGTATCTCCACTTTTCAGCTGGGCTTTGCAGTTATCTCAGTTTCTATCTTTTGTTGGCCAGATGATTCCGCCAAGGATCAATGCTAGCATGGCCATGTTTCTTCACTTGAAGGTACGCGTATTGCAATAATGTAATCTTGACAGTCGTAGTTTAAGATCTTTTTCATAATTTTCTAGATAGAGAAATTTATATAGTACTACTCTTTAATCATTGCTTAGTCCCTCTAGAATGTTTGCTGGTAGGTTAGCAATAATATCATGAGTAGCAGACTGAAGCAGGGGCAATTCATGAACTTGTACAAACTGAATACATTCTTTTCCTGATGAAACCTTCATATAACATCTAAATTAATCAGGAAACGGATGAGCAAATTAGTTTTATCAGGAGAGAACTGGCTGAAATGAAGCTAATATGGATATACTGAACTCAGGGTGGACCATAGTGGCTTCACTGCTGGCGGAACGGCAGAGGGCTTGGCTGCTACCAGGGTGATTCAAAGGGAGTATATAGGTAGAGTTTTTGCAGCCTCTTGCACAAACATGATTAATGGTAGCTTCTATTCCATGACATGATTTTGCAGCTATAATGATATGTTTCATGCGAGAGGACATAAACTTGCATCATATTTTTCTGTCCAGTTAGTTCCAAATTACAATGTTTGTGCTATCAGTACAATTCGGTGGAATAAGATGAGTCATATATACACCCAATGTAAGCTTTCACATCAGCCTTTGCTCTTGATTGTCTTTGCAAGTCCATGGATATAATTTTTAGGATTTTCCTTTACTCATAGCAAGTGATGAATGTTTTGTCCTTCAACCCTTTAGGTGTAAATACGTGTGATGTGGCTAGCAAAGTTGGTAACACGCACAGTATAACCATTATGATCTGCACAGGGATATCACCTAGGTGCATAAAACATAATCATTCAGTTTTTATTTGGCAAGCTGGAGCTACCCGGAACTTTCGATTTGGTGCCAAGATGGATGGATTCAACTAAGTGACCCACTATCAGGTATTGTTGTTCAGTTATCCTGAGGGTAACGTGGATATGTTCTGTTTGAGATCAAAGCTTGGTATTGCTAGAAAATATATATGTGATGTGCACTGAGATTTCAGATATATAACAGCAGTGATACAACACATTGTTTCCCTTGCTATTGATGACCACTTGAATTAGCATACCTTATAATAATATTTCTGTCTTGGCACTATGAGTGTTGTTCAGTGGCAATATTCGATATGCCGAAGGTAATAGTGATGCACCTCTGCCAAGAAGGTTCTTTCCTGTTCAATGCAATGCCAGAACGCTGAAACATCATGGTGTCCATGCTAAAAGATAATGATTCACCCCCTGGCTTCTTATTGCTGTATCCTCTTGGGGAATAGCTTTTGGAAACCATGATACATATATATCTGTGATAGATGCTTAATATAAGTGGTCAGATTAATGGGTAGAGCAATCAAAGAACCATAATTTATATCCCTTTAAATAAAGATAAGTATTCACTCATTGTTTATTGGTTATATTTTCAGGTCATAAATCATTTCTTTTGTTGAAGGAAGAGACTCCATTTTCTGTCGAGGACCGAATGGCACTAACCAATCGGCTTACTTGGTTAGAAGAAATTGAGAAAGGGGAGCATCTTACACCTAATAGGAAGCAGTGGTCTAATCCTAATCTCACCCAATAGACGTACATTACAACAAAATTTTCTTACATGCTGCCGCCTATATTTTTTCATTACTAACATAACCTTTTTAGATCACCCGCAAAAAAAACCCTTTTCAGATCAAGTGTGTCTTGCATTACATTTGGTCAACTATACTGCAACTTCAAACCATAATGCCTCTGTATGTTGACTGTATTTTTTGGAATTGAATTATGTATTCAAAGCTATTGTTCAGCATAGACACCGTTTAAAAATCATACAAGGGGCACACAAAATGTATATGTACTCTTCTGTTTGAATCTCTCCCTAATAATAAAGCACGTATTGGGTCTTCGGGTTCACCGTCGCGGCATTTTTGCAAAGAAGTCCCTGTGCTTTTTGATAATTAACCCGCAGTACAGTTTTGACTGGTGAACAAAGGGAAAACGTTTCGTGTATTGGCTTGGGACTCGGCTTGGCCTTTAGGGAAAAAATATAGCACGGCGGCCTGTCCTCTCTGAGTACGCACAACAGCACGGGTCCTCTTCCTGGGGACGGCACGGCAGCGCCGCCATGAATCAAGCCGCCGCGCGCGGCCGGTATACCTTTCCCGCTACCCTCCAGCACCGCGGCCGTTGCCCTTTTCTTCCCCTCCTCACCCGCCCCAACTCCTCACCCCCAGCCTCCTCGGCCTCAACTCGGACGTCTCCGATTTGGATAGGATTCGACGTCGCCACGCGCGGCCGGTCTTCCTCTCTAGCTATCCTCCAGCAGCGCCGCCGTTGCCCTGTTCTTCGCCTCCTCACCCGCCCCAACTCCTCACCCCCAGCCTCCTCCGCCTCGAGGAGGACGGCTCCGATTTGGAGCTCAAGTACTGCCTCCTGACACCTCCATCCCCAAGTACGTCCTCCCGTCAGACGAGGACGAGGTGCGTACTCTGCTTTTTTCTACTGGCTACAAGGACAAATTTAAGATCTTGAATTAAAGGATTCTAAGGTTGAATAGAAGGGGGAACAGAAAGAATGGGTAGCAATTTGTTCGGGGATTTTATTTTTTGTGCCAACCTCTAATATCCCCTTCTCTGCCATGGATTTGGATGCTTTGCAGATTTGGATTGGGGCGCAACAGAGATGAGGAAGGACAAAGCATGAATAGCTCCAGTGAGAGTGAACGGATATGAACACCACAACCCTCTCAGGTGGGATTGCCATATTCTATGCTCATATTCAAATTATCATCTAATGTTTGGCCAAAGGCTCCATATATAATTTGATCTTTGATTCCTAGATCGCTAACCACATGTGCCATTTAATTTCAGAGTATCCATTATTTTTTCCTGTTCTTCAGATCTTTGAGAGGTAGTCTGATTTGCCGTGATTTTTGCAGGGGTTGTTGGCTGATCAGGATACCCAATTCTCAAACAAGCATGCTGAGATGCTCAAGATATGGAAGTTCGCCCACAAGCTCGACCGCCAGGTTTTTTTGGTTCATGTTCAATGGGAGGCGAATAGTGTAGAGAGGGTATCTGATGCAAGTCCAAGGTAAACATTTGTTTCTTTTATTGTGTTTAGGTGAACATGTCAAAGGTGCAGATGGACATGATGAAGCCGTGAATTGTCACGCAAGTCACTGAGCTTCTTGGGTTCGAAAAACTACCTAACTGCTATTATCCTGAATTTAGTTTTATCTAAACTAAGAGGACCACATGTGCTTCTCTAACAAAGAATTACTCATTTGGTGTTCTTTTGCACTGCTGATTTTAGTTCAAATTGGTGTGAGTGCGACCTTTTTGTCATGTTGGATAAGGCTTTCTGTATCACATGGATGTGACCTGTAGTATGGTGTAGAAAAGTGATGAAAGGTATTAGTTTGAATTAATTTGGCAGCAATAGTTTATCAAGTTTTTGCCAAGCCAGCTATTTGTAGAATTTCTGCAGCTGTACTTTGTGCCATCTCCCTCATGTAGATATATATATATACTAGCAGACTAGCACGTAAATTATTTACATCAAAACTGAGACATATCTATATATGATGGAGGCATTTCTAGGCATTTTTCTATAGTACCCGTTGCAACGCACGGACATTTGTGCTAGTATATGTCTATAAATGGATTAACTGAGCCAAAGGCGGTGCCTTTTTCATACGAATATATGTGTACCACATCTTTCAGATAATCATATATGTTTGCCGGCAGATTATATATGCATTAAACTACAAAATTTATTTGTGCGACTTGATACCAGATATATACAGATTGCATGTCTCTTAGGGCATCTCCAATGCTAAGCGCCAGTGGTGGACACTAGGGTAGCTGGAGTATTTCCCGATAGATCGCCAGCTACCTTAGTTGTTCCCCGCCCCGCGTCTGATGCCGCATTATTGATGCCAATAGATGCATCGAGCGCTTGCTTTTTCCCTGGACATGTGAGTAAATAAACTAGGAGCCGGCCCTACGTATTTAGAGCCCGTGATAAGCGTCTAGCATTCGAGAAGAAGGCACTTACTTTTTTTTTGATGTTTTTTTACTCTAGGCTCCTGCACAAGAGTAGCATTGTAGATGCCCTTAAGCTATAGGCTCTCATAGTTGTTTTACCAATCACAAATAAGTAACCAATGAGGAAATAGTACAAATTTAGAGCACAATACATCATGATCTATTGGAAATTACATGTTCTCTATTTAACATATCAACCAGTCAAAGTGGCCATCTTGCATTGACCTTGAAAGTGTGATTTTTGGCCAGACCAGCGAACGAGGCAAGCAGGTTGAACTCAAATTTAAGCATATAGTTAATCCAGCATGATCCACTAAAAAATAAGTTAATCGAGCACGAAACAGTACATTGAGTCCGAGCTTTGTTGATGGCCCTACCGGCTGGAGGTAAACACATACTTTTTCCTTTTTATATATAAAATAAAATACTTGTACTAACGTTTATTCCATGCATTTTCATACATTATTCAACATTTTTTGCATTATTCAATTAAGTCATTCTTTTAATTAATATTATTAAGGTAAGGTAGGAATATAAAAAAGAATTATTCTTTTTCTTTCATTGCAACATAGTCAATGTTTTCTCCCGTTGCAATGCACGGGTCTTTTGCTAGTTTACTCTAATAGAAATAACATGCGAGACCACCTCGGTTAAATACATATTTAGTTAATCTAAAGTCAATGACAACCGAGCCCCACTCGTACTGTTCATTAGTGGACCAGTTAATGTTGACTGGGTCAACTCAGTCAACATGCCCCACATGTCAGTCTTTGTAGCACCCTGCTGTGTACACTTCACTATGTGCACATAGCATTTTGCTCTTAATTTCGTATTAATATAACTCCAGAGAATTCTAGGATATCAATAAAACTTTGAAAATTAATATAAAATAAATCATAAGTCAGATGAAAATACTATGTACATGAAAGTTGCGTAG